TTTAAATTCTCACATTTACAAAGTGGTTTCTGGAGTGTGAGAAATTTGATTGCTGCCCCTTTGCTCTTGCCTTTCCTCCTATTGTAAATACCCTACCTGTAATATTCCATCTACTACCCTAGAGCAAAGCCTTTTAAGACCTAGATCACATCCTAATTCACGTTCTCTCAGAGTGGATGAGAATCTTTAATTCTCAACTGATCTTGAATAATCAATTTCCTAGCAGTTGTAGGTTGTACTATCCAAATTACCGTGATAACTATCTTGTATTCATGAATTCTTTTGTATTATCCAGCCAATCAAGATAAGGACACTGTCTTTTCTTTTGCCCTCCCTAATGCCTGGATGCATGTAAATGCTCAGAAAATGTTTGAGATTGCTCCAGAGTCAAGCAGCTTACATCTTTAATTATGGTAGCTTACTAAGTAAAACCTAATGAAAGCTCTGCTGGATAAACAGCTCTGTGATCCTGTCCTATGGTCAGTAATAACGTATCTGACACATAGGGTAATACTTCTCCTTAGGAATTGATACTGGCATAGATTGTATAGCTTTACTAATTGAAGATTGGTGAAGTAGCTTAAGCAGACTCATTGAAGCATCTGTTTCTACCTTTTCCATGCACTTCTGGCTTCTGAGCCCAGCATATTACCCAGCTTATTCTGGCCCAGATCATGAATGAAACCTCCCTGTTGCCAAGTCAAATGGACATTTGGATCCTCTTTTTATTTGACCTCTCTGAAGCATTCTCCTCTATTGACCATTCTCTCCTTGCTGAAATAGTCTTCCTTTTGCTTCCCTGGCACTATATTCACTTTATTTTCTTCCTACTTTGAATACTGTTTCTTCTTGTTCACTCTTTTTTTGCCCTTTTCTCCTCTTCTATCTAATGTTTGTTTAATGAAAAATTTCAAAGGAATAACTAATTGAACATGAGTATACCCACCACTGTGTCAACAGTTGTTAACATTTTGCCATATTTATTTGAGCCATGTATTTTCTTTCCTGACCATTTCAACCCAAATTACAGACATCCCAACACTTCACCCCTAAGTACTTAAGCGTGTATCTCCAAAAAAGGACATTTTTCTGTATATAACCCCAATATCATTGTCTCCCTTGGTGAAATTAACTATAATTCTGTAGTATCATTTGCTTTCCAGTCCAGATTAAGATTTACTCCTTTGTCTCAAAAATGTTTTTATAGCTGTCTTTAATCATCCAGAATCTAGTTGAGGGTCATTCATTGTGTTTGGTTGTCAGTGTCTTTTAAGTGTCATTTAAACTTTGATCATTGAGTCAGAGTGGTAACAGCCAAAGCTTTCCATTTTTAAAATGGGTTTTTTTCTTTGCAGTTAGTAAGCAATTTGTGAGATAACTTTGGCACCGTGTGAGTATCCATTTCCTCACCAACCTTTCACAGTGTTTTTAACATCCATTAATGATCCTTGCACTCTACTATCAGTGTCTAATATATTTGCAAATGACATATTTCATATCTGTTTTGAAAGAGATTTTGAAGTTTTTGCAAACTTTCATAAGCTGTTCCCAGCTAGTATAGCTTAAGCCAAAGATCTGCTTAATCTCAAAATTCATTTTTCAGTGAACAACTTTAGAAAGTATTGATGCAAAAGAAGCATGTTTAAAATGGTAAATTATTTTTCTTTGTGTTTCAGGTATGTTGGTAACCTTTCCAGAGATGTGACAGAAGCTCTAATTCTCCAGCTTTTTAGCCAAATTGGACCTTGTAAAAACTGCAAAATGATTATGGATGTAAGGGTATTTTACTTAGTTAATTTCTTCTTTTTTATACGTTACTTAAAGCCATTATTTCCAGGAACTCTTAAATTAGTTTGTAAAATCTAAATTCATAGCGATTTTAGTGAATCTATAATGAATTAGTTTTGGTCACTGAGTTTGTTTTACTAAATAAAAGGAGAAAGAGAATAGAATAGACCTTGTCATTTCTAAAGCAAATGTCTAAGGCAAATGAGAACTATACGTAGGCTCTTGTTTTAAGGTACATCAGGGCATCAGAATTGTTTATTTTATATGTAGTGTAAATTGGTTAATGTAGAAATCAGTTATTTTACATGCATTATCAGAAATCCTCAACAGAAACATAAAACAAATGTTATTCCCATTTTGTGTATGAAGAAATGACATAAAGCAAAGATATAAGTCCAGATCGATATACCTAAATATTAGTCCTCTGCATTGGTTTGCATGTTGCTAGTCTCTCTCCCTATCTGGTTCATTGTAGATATTTCCCTGGGGAAAAAAATCACTAGGCAGATTGTTAATGGCTGCTTGACCTACAGAAAAAACTAGTTAGATTGCCTTTGGCTGGCACATTCAAAGATTTACATTAACAATTTTTTAAAATTCAAATCTAAATTCTAGTCTGTTCACACTTTTGGACTGATATTCATTCACATTTATGAATTTCACGCTCCCTTGGAGTGTAAAAGCTGATACTATATATGCTTAGATTTTTTTATTTAAAAAGTTACGATTTTTTTCTGGGTACGAATTAAGTGAACATTATTTTTTATTCGTTTGCCATACTTTTAAGCGCAAGCTTCTTTTTGTAAGTGTATTCTGATGCCTGTCAACATTGATCTTTGTTATAGAATTCCCACTAAGCGTAGCAGTTGTTTGAATTACACAGTTTAAAAAATACATTTTTATATTGTTTTTTAAGTAAAATAATAGATGGTCCCAAAGTCATGAATTTTCTGGTTGCCTCCTTACTCTAAAATTCTTAAAAATCTTTGCCAGTGACATTTTTAAACCATTAATTGTACATGAAACAAAATAATATATTTATTCTAGTAGCTTTGTAGTCTTTTGGATTTGTTTCTTTTAACAGTTTGCTTAGGGATGATGGAAAGAATTAAAAATGGACTATAATGTAAATTGGCATTTTACACTTTTAAGTATAAGATATCCAGTGTTTTTTCTCCTTCTTTAATTTACAATAAAATTTCCAGGCTTCATTTATCATATAACCTGAACTACCTGGAACACTGGCAGCAAAGAGGAGAGAATTTTTAAAAGGCTTCTAAGCAGGCAAAAACTTGATGACAGAAAGTCCATATTCTAAAGCTCATTCTGAAACTTTACTGAGGGCTCATATATATAGTATAATATAATCTGTTGAAGAAGATAACTTTATATAATAATAATTCATTTTTTTAAGTGATTACTTCATTATCTAAAAATTTACTTGTGGAAGGGACCCTTCATTCTCCATGGCCTGATGCCTGAGACATTGTATAAAACTTGGCAAAAAAAAATTTTTTGCTTGATTTTCAGGAATTGGGAGTATAAAGCTTAAAAATGGCTTTTGTGTTTCTTCTCCAACAGACAGCTGGAAATGATCCATATTGTTTTGTGGAGTTTTATGAGCATCGTCATGCAGCTGCAGCACTAGCTGCTATGAATGGGCGGAAGATAATGGGTAAGGTAAGCTGTCATAATTAAAGAAGGTGACTTGTGCTGGAAACTTTTATATACAGTTTCGTTTCCTTTTTAGATTATATTCACAGCAACAGGACAGTTATTCATATTTAATATAGAAAGGATGGGATAGAGCTTTAAGAGGACAGAGGCCTGTGTTTATGTTAATATTTTCCATGATGCAATGTACATGATAAAGACAAGTATTTGTTTACTAAAGCTTGGATGAAATGGCTGGGAATATTGGATGCTAATGGGGAGGAGTGAAAGAGGAAAAAAGTTACTGATACTTTAAGTTAGAAAAGATTAATTGCATGTTAACAGAGAAGTATATAAATTAGGATTTGTCAACATTGCTTGTATAAGTGTAGGTTAAAAGATTAGTATTGAAGCTGACCAGAACTGTTATCCCCTTGAATGTTTCATCTCAAACATATACCTTCCTATGTGATCCTAGATGTAAATCTAATAATATCTGATTTTGAGCTTTATTTTTATGGAGTATAAATGTAGAAAAATTTTTTTTAGGAAGTCAAAGTGAATTGGGCAACAACTCCCAGCAGCCAAAAGAAAGATACAAGCAGTAAGTATATTTTATACTCTTTGAACCTTTGTTTATATTGTACACAGTAGTTTTATTGTAAAGCATATAAACATCATACGTATTTGCAGTAATGTTTTGATCGTTATCCTAAGATATGATTTAATGTGTTTGTGTTAATAAATTTAAGAACAAATCTAATCTTTGTCATCAGGTAGTACCGTTGTCAGCACACAGCGTTCACAAGGTAATTGTATCTTCTTAAACATAAAATGAAATCTCTTGAAAAGGGTATTCACTAACCACCTGAAGTTTTTTTGTTTGATATTGGGGGGAGGCGGGAGGGAGGGGGTCGTATTTCTATTTGTCTCTCTGGCAGTATTTTTCCCCCTTCTTCCCAGTGTTGACCCAGTGTGGCTTGTCCACTACTTTGGTGCTATTTCAAGCTCTCTGACCCCCTTGATAGCAGCTGATGTCTTAGAAATACTTTCATCAACTAAAGGGCAAGGTACCCTGCTTCCTTGAGGTCACGATCTATGCTTCATACCCAGATCTTCAGAATGCTTGAGTTGCTCCTGAAACTGTGTTTCCCAAATGGCAACCCAATATGTTGCTTAAGGCCTGCCAAATAGGGGTAACTTTTCTTTCCAAATATACTTTATCAAAATTTGTATATATGTCCATTTTGAAGTGTTGGTTCAACTATTTTTAAGTGTTTTGGGTTTTTTTTTTTTTTTTTTGAGAATTGTCTTTTTTAAAAAACTTCAGATATGGGATCGTATTTCTCTCCAATGCTTTTTTAATGACTGATATAAAGTGAAGGGATTACTGTTTTCATTCTGTTGCCTTCAGTCTTAGTTCACTTGCACATGGATTCACATAAACTGAATGGTGTAATGTCTGGGCAACCAAAACTGTTGGCTTTTGAGAAAACTGTCAAATACTTTAACATCAAACTGTTGCAATGCAAGGTATTTCTTTGATTGTTCTTCACAAAATATGGTTAAACCAAGTATATCATGTAGCTAGCTTCAGTAAATTGTCTTAACTGAGGCCAATCTAGTCTGCATAACTCACAATACCACTATTGTAATTTGTAAAGCCTTAAAATAGTGGTAAGCTGAATAAAAGTAAATAATTACTATTAGCATGGTAATTAAGTCATTAAATTTTTTACATTACTTAAACTTGTTATGTATTATTAGTTTATATCCTTAGAGCAGTATAGTAATTGGCTGTCAGAAATATAACTGTCGGTTTCAAGTTAGGTATATCACAGTTTTAGGAGAATCTTTACGTATTGTCACCTTGGTTCATTATGTTTTAAATTGATAGGATTTGTATAGCTATAGGATAGTGTTTTATGTATGCTTTACTGTAACCCACAAATTATTTTAAGAATACTTTATTGAATAGATTTTAGTCTTTTTTAAATTCTAAAGTTCTATTTTTCTTTTCACTTCCCCTTCCTTCCCTTTATAAGATCATTTCCATGTCTTTGTTGGTGATCTCAGTCCAGAAATTACAACTGAAGATATAAAAGCTGCTTTTGCACCATTTGGAAGAATATCGTAAGTAACAGAAGATAAATTTAGAATGCTTTTAATTAGAAGCAATCCTATATAGAAGTAATTTGAAAATAATTCTATTGTGAATTTTGAGCACTAATTTTAACACTTGAATATAATGTATTATGTTGTTTAGAGACTGTTCAGGTAGATAACAGCAAAAGATTACTTTCCCATTGATGAACAAATCTTTGGTCTTTAATTTTTAAATCCTTTTTCAGTTAGCATTAACTTCAAACAAACATATTTGCCATTGTACATATTATAGTTTTTTATATAGGTGTCTTTCTAGCTTGGTCATAATCTTTAGTAAACTTGTGCTATGACTAAGGAATTTAGACCCTTGGGCACTTCTATGATACCATGCATTTTGTGTTAATACGTTTTTTTTTAAAAAAAGAAACCTTAACAGTCCAACCTAAAAAAGTTATTAAATGACATTTCTTAGAAATTTACCTTTTTTTTTTAAACTTTTAAAACAATAATGTCTCAGTATTTTGTGAAGCACTGTCTTGCTTGTGTTATTAATCATACATTTTAGGCCTTTTGTAAATAGCTCATTCAAAGTAGCATTCATCATAGAAGAACTTTATTATTTTGAAAAGTATACCATATTAGAGTGAGAATAACAAGTTGATTATAGTGCTTTCTTAGAATAGAAGCAGTTGTTGAATTTAGAATTTTTTAGGGCTTCTGGTTGCTTTTATTATTGTTCTAGCTAGAAGAGTAGTAAAAAGGAAATCCTAGCTGTCATTTGGTTCGATGAACAGATCACCAGCAGAGATAAGACGATGAGGAGTCTGGAAAGTAATTGCCACTAGTGTTAGTGATGAATTTAGGGAGTTTTCATTTGACGAGTTGTAGTTCATTGGTAAGAAGATGACGAAACATAATGACAAAGGAATGGCTGTAAATGAGGGGCCAACTTTAAAGGCATTCACAAGATTAGGGTTCATAAATGGACTGTGGTGTTAGATGACATTTTTCTTTGTGAGAACTGATTAGGAAAATAAGGAAGGTTTTAATTTCTTGGTTGTTCCTCTTAATCTGTCGCAGGGTTTTGCTAATGTAGCTTGCTTTCAAGTATCTAGACAAACATTTGGTCTCTGAAGGGCTCTACAAATCTCTGTATGGAAAATTTTGTGTATATTTTTATTTTGGTGTGGAAAATCCTTGTAAGTTTCCTTTGATTGTCAGAGTAGTCATAGAACTAAGAACCCTGATCTAGATCTTTGACTGCTCCTTCCTCAGAGAATCCTTTCAGCGAGAAATGAATAAGAGTTGATTATATTTTCAAGGCTAAGGCTTCCTGAAACTTAAAACTTTAAGAAGACAAAACTTTTCTGACTTTTGTTAACAGATTAAGTAGCCATTTTCTCCCGTGCTTTCATTTTGGTTGAAGTAGCTTTTCTGAAAAAGCACAGGTATTTTAGTTAAGGATTAGATAAAATTGTTTAACATTTGGTTGGTTTAAGGTAACTGACATTTAAATTTTAGTAATTTCATTACCTTTAATTATGGATCAATAATTTGTTTTTGGTAAATATGTTGGTATCATCTTTTTAGACTGTAGATTTTCTTATAGCCCTCTATGATTATTGGTATGAATAGTATTTGTTTCTTGGTAAGGCCTTTCTCTAAGTTTTATAATTTTTAGTAGAGATTACACATGTCTGAGCTTTAGGCTATACAAGGGGTTAGCTTTCCTAAATTTAAAAGAACCATTTGGCTGGTTTTTGTTTGTTAAAGGAGATAAACTGATAACTATCTTGTAGGGTTCTCATGAGATGTTCTCTGTAGAGTGCCTATAACAGTGCTTGGTTTACAGAAGGTGTGCAATAATGGTGGCCTATTAGAATATTTAGTATAAAAACTATTGTAGTACTTTCCATAATTTATACAGTTGAAACTTTTCCTGTTCCTTGAGTTTAGGATAGCATGGCAAATTTTGGTATAGAAGTGAATCAGCTACCAAGTTAAATGCACGTGTGTGTACCATACAGATAATTTAATAAATATTTTTACATATTGAGAAGTGACTTGCATTCCTTATCCCTTTTCACCATCACCTTTTTGTCCTGTTGACCCTAAACACTTAACAAATCACTCCTAAAATGACCTAAAATATGGTTATATATACTTTAATATAAAATTACATTGCATGGTTTTCTGACTTGGGTTTTTGTTGTGAAAGTGCCTGTTTTGTTCATGTGTCCTGAAAGAACAAGCATTGTGACATACCTGGCTAACTTAAAAGCAGATTGCCTGTGAAGCACAGTTTGAGTCCAATTTTTTGAGGTATGGAGTTTTAGCTATCATGGCTGGGTTTTTACTCAATCTCAAATAATAGGGCTCTGGTTATTTTGCAGAGTGTCTCTGAAGAATGGACAGAATTGCCCTGGCTAACTACAAGCTACGGTTCACAGTGGATAAATGTTGGCGTGCTTTTTTACTTTCTGACTTTTTAAAATTTTGCTTTTATATCTTGTAGTTTCCAATCAATCTTATATGATTGCTATTATAAAATTCAGTATAAAATCTTTTGTTGTAAAGTTTAAAGCTAAAGTGTGTGTCTAGTAGTTTTCTTCAGTGATTTAACTTTTCTGAAAATATCAAGTTCTCAAAATTATCAGTTTACCCATAGTCCAAAAGGGGGGTATAAATTAATCTGAGAAAATGAAATAACTTAATTAACGTAGGGAATTATACCTTTTTCATTCTTTTAGTTTCCAGTTTTCTATTTTAATTTTTTAATGATTAGGTAGAACATAGTGTCAAATAGCAAATGTAAAATTGCATGGTTAAAGAAAGCCATTCATATAATATGCCTTGTCAACCCTGTAAGTGGTTAAATAATTCATGTGAATAGCTGCTTTCACCATGCTTAATATTTGAAGTTTAAAAAAAATTTTGAAGTGGGAGGAAATTTCTGTACAATGTATACATATATATTTAAGAAGTTATTGATTTGCATGTTTATAAAAGTAAGCCTCGCTTGCTAATACGTAATAAATTTTATAGAATGAACAGCGAATTTGCATTAAAGGTTCACTTTAATGAAGGTGAAACATGAAAATGAGTTATGTATGAAATTCTCACTTTATATCCAGAGAACAATTTGCAAATCTAAACTTCTGATTGTTTCTGATTTCAGAGATGCCCGAGTGGTTAAAGACATGGCAACAGGAAAGTCTAAAGGATATGGCTTTGTCTCCTTTTTCAACAAATGGGTGAGCTCAGTAAGAAGTGTATGTGTAGTGCTTTAAGAGTGGAGAATGAAAATACTCTGTTTTAATTATTAATCTTCCATCTGCCGTATGTTAATGTCATTGATAGTTAGTACTCTCATTTGGTAATTTGGTAATTTGGTAAAAATCATACAACTGAATCAGCTGGTTGCACTTCCGATTTCATGGTCACACTTTAAATGAATATTCAGTACTGTCCTTACAAATCTGTTTCTCTAGTAAGCATTTATTTAGCACCCAATGCATGCAAAGTACTGATAAAAAAAAGTTTTTGAAATACAGGAAGTAAAGACGTTAAAATTATAGTCAAAAGTAGATATTAAAAATCTCATTTATGGATTTAATACATTATCTCCCTGTTATATGACCACAGTAATTTAAAAGTAGCTAATAGAAAATGTTTCAATGTATGGGGACTTCTTTTTTTTAAATTATATGTTAATGTATTTGAAGACTTCTTATCATTTGTTTCTTTCATTCAGCAAGTATTTACTGAACACGAATTTGCACGGGCTTGAAATTTCTCTTTTTTGCCGACAATAGGAAGGATAGTGCAGTTTGTCAAATGGAGATATGAGGAGAGAGTGTATAAAGAAGGAAGTGGCTCACATTTAGTGTGACAGCTAGATAAAATCTTCGGAATATCCTCCATACAATATAATCCTGTGCAGTTGATTTTTTTGGTTTTTTTATTGTACTTTAGATGAAGGTTTACAGAACAGACTAGCTTCTCGTTAAACAATTAGTACACATATTGTTTTGTGATACTGGTTACCAGCCCCACGACATGTCAACACTCTCCCTTCTCGACCTTGAGTTCGCTATTACCAGCTTTCCTGTCCCTTCCTGCCTCTAGTCCTCGCCCCTGCGCTGGTGTGCCCCTTTAGTCTCGTTTTGTTTTATAGGCCTGTCTAATCTTTGGCTGAATGGTGAACCTCAGGAGTGACTTCATTGCTGAGCTAAAAGGGTGTCCAGGGGCCGTACTCTCAGAGTTTCTCCAGTTTGTGTCAGGCCATTAAATCTGGTGTTTTTTTGTGAGTTAGAATTTTGTTCTACATTTTTCTCCAGCTCTGTCCGGGACCCTCTATTGTGATCCCTGTCAGATCCCTCAGTGGTGGTAGCCAGGCACCATCTGGTTGTGCTGGACTCAGTATGGTGGAGGCTGTTGGCAGCTATTATTTTAAAAAAAAAAAAAAAAAAGAATGAGGAGCTCTAAATATTAATTATGAAAAGATCTCTACAGTATATTGTTCGGTGGAAGGCTAATTTGTATGAAAAGGAAGGGAATGTATTTGTGTGACATACGTATGTATGTGTGTGTGTGCGCTTGTGTGTGTGAGAGAGAGTGAGTTTCCTTTTTCTCTTGCAGGGACAAACAAGAAACTTATGATAGGGTTTCCTGCTTGGGTAGGTGGGTTATGATAAGATATATAGGGGCAGAGAGGGAAGCTTCTGTCACTGTGTTGCACTTTCTGATGTCTGAACTTTATAAATGTGTTACTTATTCAAATAATTAAATAAAAAATTAACTCTTCAACTATGATAACTGAAGGTTCAAAACAATCAAAGATATCACACTTTCAAAAATATAGGGGTATATAGTGGGAGAATTCATAGGCACTGATCTTGGAGTGTACACCAAGATTTCATTAACCTTGGATTTTATTGTGTTACCTTTATGTTATGACTGTAGTTGTGTGCCATCGAGTCAATTCCAACTCATAGCTATCCTATATGATGGAGTAGAACTGCCCCATAGGGTTTCCTATGCCATAATGTTTATGGGAGCTGTGGTGGGTTCAAACCGCAAACCTCATAGTTAGCAGATGAGCGCTTAACTGTTTGCACCACCAAGGCTTCTTATGTTATGACTAGTAGTTGTCGATATTAAGTATAGAAACACTGTACCTTTTCTGTTAGAGTGCCTTAGGATGAGACACTATACCTTTTCTGTTAGAGTGCCTTAGGATGAGACATTACAAGTTTTTGATAGTATGAAATGTATTTTAGGAAGACATTTCTTAGTTTAGTAAATGGAGTGTGTGTGTGTGTGTGTGTGTGTGTATGTGTATAAATATAGTTTCCTGTTGACTCCAGGTCAGATTTACAAACATCAATTTTTGTAATATGCTATGAGGTAGTGGTTCCTTCTGGGGTTTTTGTAAAATACATCTGTTTGCAGCTATGCCAGATAGTGTCAGACTGTCATGTTTTTCTCGTTCCTGTGTCTGTGCATTGGAACTAATGTCCAGTGTCCCTCACTATGAACTTTTACTATCCAGATACTTGCTGCAACAGCTTGTAACCATTTTTGCCCAAAAATCACTATCCAAATAAAAAATCTGCTCTAAAAATGTTTACATGGCTCATAAGTCCAGGCAAGAAAACGTAGAATGTACTGTAATTGTAGTCAGCTATTCTCACAGTAAGATCATATCATTTAAATGTTTAATGCATCATCACTATCACCTTCCTTATATGAAGTAAAAATATCTTCTAAGATAGTAGAAAACCTGCAAAGAAAGTAGGTAAGCCTAAGAGGTTGGGAAAAACCTATGCATTAGAAGAAAAGTTGGAAATGATAATACATACTGAGAGGTGAAAAGATGTAAACTTGACTAAGTAGGTGTCCCATATACCATTCATAGCATTGTTTTTTCTGTGAGATGAGTAAATAAAAACTATGAGAGTGTAGTTGGTTCTGAAAACTTTACTGTATTTCTCAATGTAATATTTTGGAAAGGTGGAAAAATACCTTGTACAATGGATTGATAGCCACAATTAATGTGTGTTCCTTGTAAGATTGATACATAGATTTTCAGATTTTGCTGCTATTTGAAGAAGTAGATTTGAGTTTTTGGGTGGGCTGTAAACTCATTTTTTACCATTTCAAATTTTGGAATATAGACTCCTCTATAAAAAAAATCACTGCTGAATGCATATTTAATGTAAATAGAGTCAAATAGCAAAGGATGTCTGCGTATAGTCTCTGGAGTCAACCAGAGATGGATTTGAATCCTGAAAGTTATTATGATAGATGTAACTTTGAGTAATTTCATTTTCCTGAGTCTGTATGTCTGCTTCTGTAAAATTTGTGAAATGATTGGCACTCTTTGGTGTCATGCAGTGCTGTGGCCCTGATTGCAGTAACCCTCGACTCCATTGCCTCTCCACCTGTGTTGTGCACGCTAGGCAAAACCCTAGTACTGGTTGAACTCAACTTCTTTGCCTGCTCTGAAGTAACTGAATATTGCTGGAGAAAAATCATACAACTGAATCAGCTGGTTGCACTTCCGATTTCATGGTCACACTTTAAATGAATATTCAGTACTGTCCTTACAAATCTGTTTCTCT